GACTTATGGAAGTTGTGAATGAGACTCCTCCAAGTGGTCGAAGGTGCGGTTAAGTGACTAAAGTAAAATGTAAAAATTAGTCACTTACACTTTTATGGTTGGTGGTGCCTTTTGTCTTTATTCCATAGTTTCTCTTTGCCTACCATGATTCTCCTATTTTAAGTGGACATATGGGACATCGTCGTGTGATTAAGAAGCTGAGCAAGTTTTTCTATTGGCCGGAGATGCAAAGTGATGTTATCTGGTATGTGCGTAGCTGCATTTGGTGCCAAGTTCATAATACTCCCCCTCGTGCTACGGAAGGATGGTTGGAGTCAATTGCAATTTCCTGTATATTTGAGTTGGTGGCATTTAACCTTATGGGACTTTTTCCATGATTGACTACTGGCAATGAATATGTTATATTGCTTCTAACTACTTGATTCATTAGGTGGAAGTTGGTGCTCTTGTTAGCGCTTTTGCAACTGTTATTGGATACTTCCTCCTCAATCAAATGGTGTTTTAGCATTCTTGTCTGGAACGAATTCTTTTAGATAATGGTCTTATATTTATGGCTGAGGCATTTTATGTTTTGATGTCTCAGTTGGGGATATGCCACACTTTCACAAGTGCTTATCATCCATAGTCAGATGGTTTGGTGTAACGGCTTGTTCGGACATTCAAAAGAATGATCGCGAAGTACATGAACTTTCAGCATTCGGATTGGGATGGTTATTTGTTATCTTTTCGGTATGCATATGTCACAGGGGTGCAGCTTCACCATATAAACTTCTATATGGTTATGATCCAATATTACCAATGGAGCTGGGTTTGCTTTCGCGATTGCTATGAGCTGCCAATGCTACATCGTGGGGATCAGTACTTGACGAACATTCTTCCACTTGTCCGAGTAGAGTCTACCAAACACTTAGACCGTATACAAGTAGGACAACAATGGCACTACAACTCCCATCATCGTCCACTTGCGGAGTATAAAATGGATGACTTGGTGTTAGTCCATTTTCCCCATCTTATAGTATATGGTTTGTCTAAAGGGCTTCTTGCTTAGTGGAAAGGACCGTATTAAGTGTTGCGGCAAGTTGGACCGCAAATTTATGAGATTCAGCATGACATCTAACAAACTAATCCTTCAAAAATTATGCATGTACAGCGGTTAAAATGTTTTATACAAAGGGATCAAGAACAATCGAGGCTATCTACAAATCTGCCAATGCCTCCTCTTGATGTTCCTCCAGATCTTGGCCCATCTACAAGAGAACTTTGATAGTTTTCCATTATTCTGAGAGAAGGGGATGATATAAAGTTTAGGTGTATGACTATGATGCTATATATTAATATTAGCATAGTGGGATTTTGATAGCTGTTAGATTAGTTTTAATCTGGACCATTCGCTCCTATATATAATCTAGGGTTTTTAGGCTAATTGATATGCATATTTTATATATTCCCTTTCCATATTCCATGCACTCGCAAAATATAATTTTAAATTTATTTAATCAATTGACTATTAAACAAACTAAATATTGCTACATATGACCCATAGCTTTTTTTTCTTTTTTTCTTTCTTCTTCAGCAAAACTATACTTATTTTTTCTGGGAAGAAAATAATTTGTATATGCTTTTGGTGATCTTGTCATGAGCAATAACTGGCAAAACTACACAACCTCTTACAGTCTGACCTTGAAACGCATCGGTAGTCAGCGTTAGTGTCTGGGATGTGGCATGCCAATTCCACACTTCCTCTGCTCAAGTGAGGACATGTCTTTGATGTGAGAGTGCTGGTGTCTATGGGCTTTTGCCTTGAAAATAGTCATAGCCTTGACAATATCTGTCAAAACACACAAACGCTACTTATGTTTGCGAGATTGAACCTCTGGTACCTTGGGACGGGGCTGTTGCTGCCACGACTGGTTGACAGGGAAGAGATGTGGAGAAAACATGGTTCTTGCCGTCCAAGAAGCTGTCATCAAATAGCAAATACAAGTATTTGCACCTGTTGAAAGGATTTGTGATCATCAGCACGCAGGAGGTGTGAGTACTTACGTCTCTGATAAGAAAAAACTATGTTGATGATCTTCTAGTTTCATAGTCATGACATCTCTGACACTAGCAAAGCCTCCAGGCACGTGGCTAAACACATTGATAGAGTTCATGATTTTCTTTCCCACGTCCAAATACCAAGGATCTGAAAAGCAAAACATACAATCAAATCAAAACTTTTCCTACTATTTTACCTTTTGTAGCTTGATATAAAAAAAATGTGGACTCGACCAACTCTGGACGAAGTGGATAGTATCTTTCTGTGAGGTGGACTTTTCCGGCATCAAGTAAGTATCTGAGACAAAAAAAGATAATAAGCAAAGCAGGATCAAAACTCTACAAAACGAAATGGTCACTCGTTGATGTTTCTCATAGTTTTAACTTGCAGATGTGGAGCCCATATTTGCTATCTCTGCCAGACTTTGTCTTATAGGTGCCGACCATTGTAAGTATCCACGCACGTACGCTAGTCCCTTTCAGGAAAAATACCAAACGTCTCCCACAAGCGGAGAAATTCTCTGTGGGTAGCGTTTGCAGCGGCAATATCACCTATCAAAACCTGCAACAAAAAGGTTACATAAAACTCTCGATAAATTCCTACCTGTAGTCCAGGCCAAAATGCTTGCAGACTCGTGAACTGCCAGTATGTAGCTCTCCCAGTTCTCACATCAGCGTCATGGTACCTGATATAAAGCTCTTTCAATACATATGAACTGTTTACTGATAGTTTACCAGGAACCGTATCTATAATGTTGTTGGACAGCTCGGTAAGCGTCCTGAAACATATCCCAGTATTCTTCGCCTCCGAAAAGAATGTAGGCTTTTACCAGATATTCATAGAAGGAATCGATACCTGCAGAAAGAACAGGCCGGACGGTGGCCAAATAATTACATTGAAAAATATTACCAGCACCAATGCCTGAAGAGTACTCAGTCCACCGTCCAGTATTTATGTCAAGGTTCGTTTCCAGTAAGTTGAGTTCACTGCGCATACTCCACTGTTCCCAGTAAGTTGAGCTTTGTGCTCGTTGCCACTGGAACTACATGTTGGTATACCTTGAAGTTCATGCACACTTGAAAGCTACCATTGATTGTGCGAACGATTGATGTTGGTGATTGATCGTGATGGTGATGGTTTTCATGCAGCAAATGTCGATTCTGATCGTCAGAGGATTGCAATTGCGGTAGAAGCCTCAGCTGTAGGTTTTCAACGAGATAAACTGAACAAGCATAAACATTGGTTGACTACCTTTACTGCTAATCAGCTGCTGGATAGCCTGGAACTGAGAAGTTTGGAGCTGGATGAGCTGCTCGAATCGCGATTCCCACAAGTCAAACAATCTGCTCATTCCTTGCTCGCATAATTCGTTCATCTTGAGAGCTTGCAGCTCGTTTGCTTTGAGTGTCTCGCTGAGATTTATCACATCCATGCTGTGAACAAACTTCTCCACCTCTGATTTGATCTCTAAGACTGCCTGTATTGCAATGCTCTCCAGTTCCCAGACATTTGTGATGAAGCTTTTGATGGATTTTAAGGCAGCCTTGCCTACAAGATTTATCAATTAGTGCTGAGACGAGTGTGGTTGGCTCGATGCTCATTGCTTTGAATGCGAAACAGAAACAGAACATAGCCAAAAGGATGATTGTTTCTTTAGGCTTTAGTCTATGTCTTAGCACCAATTTCAATTTTGACTTCGAAAATTTTGCAGTATGATAAGTAAGAGTCTTACCTTAAATCTTTTACAAAATTAAAGAACTAAATTCCAATTAACACAAAATAGCATATAGCAAACTTTTGAAAGGGTGAATATTCCATCACCTTTTCTTCTTTAACAAAAGGTACCATTCCTTTTTTCATATATTTTCACTCCAAAATACATCTTTCCCAAATTAATCATTTTATACTGAAGAACTTCTTGATCTTATTTCTATGAACTTTTTGAAAAAAAGTTCTTTTGCAAGAGCATCACTGCAACACCAAACTCCAACACCCCCACATCCACACCTCTCCCCATTTTCTCGATATCCCCAGAGATAACTTGTATCACAATGATCTAAAATTATCTAGGTTTGGTGCTGTGAGCTTCCTTGGGCAGAACTCCTAGCTTCACCACAATGTTTCTGTGATTGATCTCAAACTTTATGCCTTTATGCACTCGGGGCAAGCTTGCATAAGAGAGATGTTGTGCACCACAAAAAATTATGACATGATTTTTTTGATTACGCCCTCCTCGGAGAGTTTATAATACAATCGCTCATCCTTCTCAAAATAAAAGTCCCTGAAATCGCAAAGCTATGTAATTTCCATCTTTCATGCCGAAAACTTTTATTACATTTATTTTTATGTTCGCAGTCCTTTATGAGCTCAAACTCATATTTACTGTCAATAGTAATATTTACTGTCAATCTCTAGAACTTTCTCGCATTCTTGATCCCAGGTCACTCTCAACGCACAACTTTTTTTGCTTGTCAATCATACTTCCCAATAGAAACCCTATGCAAACTTCCACACTTGAGATACCTTTCAAGCCAATTTGTACTGGTACTAGCACCACCACTGCTTGAAGCTGCCTGAAAGGCATGGCTTCTCAGATTTTCAAGGCTTTTTTTGCCCCTCTCCAGAGCCTTGTAGGCTGATGAGTCTGCCCATGCTGTCTTCAACAAGCGGCAAATACATCAGCCTTCATCAGATGCAGCTTGAACTGCAATGCTCTCCAGTTCTAGAACACTTGTGATGAAGCTTTTGATGGATTTGAAGGCTGCCTTCCCTGCAAGGCACGCTGGAGGGAAGGCAACCAGTGCTGAAATGATTGTAGCTGGCTGTATGCTCATCCCGCTCCAAGCATGCAAACACAGGGAAGAGAGTTTAATAAGTTTTCAAGCTGCTGACAGTCTTGAGCAAAACAAAAGAATCAATCCAAAGAAGAGAGTTTGAGAGCAATTTGAACACTACCAAGATATTGAAGAATTGACAGTTATGGACTTGATCATAAATTCTGCCTGAAACACATAAAAGGCCAACTGTCTGGAAACATTTCTTACAGCATGAACTCCGGGATGACTTTGGGAAATACCTTTGGCACCATCACGTCCTATCAAATTTTCAAAGGTTAGAGAAAACACAATGTTGCAAATGCACATTACTTAGATTGCGAGCTTGCGAAACTCACAGTGACGCATTCGCTTCTTCTCACCGGTAAGCACCTGGAGCGAACCACAGTAGAAAGAGTTACAGAGACGAAACATCCTCCAAAGAATACGCACCATGAAGAAAGTAGAATGTCCAACAACAGCAATTACTTGTTCTGGCCTTGAAAGAAGATGGCGACGAAAAGAAGCGACCCGTTTGCGGAGGTTCGCTGAGTTCATGAAGAATACATCAAAATTAGAGAAGGGGAAAGGAAGTCAGACCAGTGTTTTCTCTCGTCCGAAATGCCCCGATGTTTGGAGCCTCTGGCGGCGAGAACCACCAGACTGGATCGAGCTTCTCGAATGATAGCCAAGGAAAATCAAGAGAAAGTACCTGTAAGCAAAGTGAGTTCTCTAGCAATACATTTTAAGTTGAAAGAGAAGAAAGTGGTTACCTGTGGATCACGGCCAATATCTCCAGCACCAGCTACGTGCTCAGTGTGTAAGCTGCTGACTTCCAGACGCAAACTGCTTCTCTCGTCCTGAATACAAATTTGGGAGAATGCAAAACCTTGTATATCACCTTGAACGGGTGTAAAGCCCATTTCAATGTGTCCAACGCTCTTGTTAGAGGAGAAACTAGAATCTAGACCACACAAGTAAGCTCTAGAAATCTTCCTATTGAAACGTTTACCACGTCTGGCTTAAGCGACAGCAACTGCTGACCAATGCAGGAGGCCTAAATGATCATACCAAGAGTTTTATATTAGCAAAACGGAAGAAGATTAAAAAACTGGAGGATCATACTCTTACCTGTTGAATGCCTTGAGCCGAGAGCCTTACATCGATCATCTTCTGATCTCCTTGCTGAAACAAAGTATGCCCGTGCCTGATAATATGAATGATCTGAGATGCCAAAAGCTTAAAACACGAGTAAGAAAACAAGAAGAAAAGAAAAGAAAAGAAAAGGGATGCAAAAGCAAACACGCCTTCTTTCTTTGACGGAAGAGTGGAAACACTTCTTGCTTGGTCTGAGGTTCTTCCTCCTGAATTCAGAGAAAAGAGATGCACACATTACAACTTCCCAGCCACGAGAAGGAGAAAAAAAAAAAAAATCTTAACTGATTTTTCATCATCTGGTTCCACATAATCCTCCTCGTAACTAATAAGAACATCAAATGCGAGCCAAGTTAGAAGTTTAGAAGCAAGCAAAGAAGGGACCCAACCTTCTTCGGAGACAAGTGTCTAAGTGAGAGTCCATAAAAAATAGCGCGATGGAAGCGTGACAGCAAGGGCATACTCCAAAACGCGAGCCATGACTCATACCTTTTGGCAAGAAACTCTCGCTACACATTTGGCCAGCTATCGCAAGAGATTGAAAATTTTAGGAAAGGCCAAGAGAAATCCCAAGTGTTTGGATCGAATTACCTCATCGCAAAGAGAAGATCCATTCGCCGTGAGGATCGCGCACGCGATCAATCGCCGGAGAAATCCCTGGTGCTTAAACCCTAATGTTTTGAAAACTCTAACAAAACAGAAATTTAAAAGCCTTTAATGTGGGTGTACCTTTATTTTCAGAGCGCCAGCTAGAGTCGACCTGGCGGAATGCCAGCGCTTGGATCAACCCGGGCCAAATCTAATCCACGCTTGCGCGCCGTTGGATTGCCAGAAAACCCGGTTTTTTTAACTCTAGTGGACGTGGCGCTGGATCCCACCGTCGGATGGACGTGTCCATGGCGAGTTAGGTCGCTTCAGCTGGATCGAGCTCGAGGGTTTTGCTATGCCACGACGCCGCCGAGGGGAGCAAGCATTCCAGGCGCTGATGCGGCGACGCAGCTAGGCGAGATCTCAGCGAGCGCCGTCTAGAGGTAAGATTTCGGTCCAGGGATCGATCGATCCAGTCGAGGCTACAGTAGAGGCCCTCATCCTCGCTTGCGCTGGCTCGATTTCTAGGCGATGGCGGCATTGTCGCTCCCGGGGCGAGGGTCGGGGCATCTACATTGGCCAGTAGATGCCGATTTGTAGCAGTGAGTGTAGGGATTGCCATGCCAGTGGATGGCCGTCGGCCGGGTGTTAAGGAAGGTTATGGGGAAGAACGATGAGGGAGCTCCATCGTCGGCGGCTTTGGAGACCGAGGGCCCCGTGAATCCACAAGACTGCCGCTCGTGCTTCCAGAGGTCGACTTGGAGATGGATCGTCACGGTGGTTCTCAGCTTGCAGCTCTTGGTGTTTGTTTTGCTCACCGTTGGCATTCGTAGAGGACACAACGGTGCGAAGAACTCTTTCATCGAAGGTAGACTCTTTCTAGTACTTGGTTCTTGTTTCTAGATTGGACCATCTAATTCTTCTTTCTCTCTTGTTTTTTCAGCTCCATTCATGTTCACGTTTAAGCTCCAGAGATCCGCTTCAGTCATCGAAAGATACAAAGCGGAGCTTGAGGCAAATCTTTCGAGCCATATCCCTTCCTCAAACATGAAGGTATGTGCTGTGCGTGCTTCACAAGATATATGTGTATAATGTGTTGTCACTTTCAGGTGTCTTTATTGTCCGTAAACCAAACCAACGATTGCAGGTATGCCGAAGTTCGCTTTCAGCTCCTTCCCGACCATCGGGCGCCTTACAACGAGTCTGCTGTCAAGAAGAGCCTCGTGAAGTTTTTCCTGCAACAGAGGAACCTTTCTCTGACGCCGACGACGTTCGGACAAGTGTACGATTTCCAAATCAACAAGTTTCCTGGCGGATTGAGCATCGTCCCTGGGAAGTGGCAGAAGTCTCTCAGGAGGCCGTCGCTTTTCAACTTCACATTGCCCAACAGACACATCTCCGGCGTGAGTAGCAACTTTCGAGTTTTCAAGCATCAGCTCGCGGGTGGGATCAGTCTGCAACACAACGAGGTTAGAATAGTTCTCGTTCTTCTCACATCTTTAGCTTTAACTCTTTTACTTGCTCTTGTAGACTTTGATCGCTCGGCTGACAAATCTAAACGGCTCCACGGTGGAGTCTCCTGTCATCATACAGGCTACGGTATTCCCTGCCGGACGCCATTTTTCTTCGACGAGAATAAGGCAGCTGGCTCTCAAGGTCTCAAGGCACCGGAAGAACCTCAGGCTAAACCATACGCTGTTCGGGAGGGTGAAGGATATACAACTTTCGCCAATGTTTCGGCACGCTCTGGGACTTGATATCGCTCCAAGCCCAGCTCCAAGCCCAGCTCCAGTCTCAGGTGGGTCGCAGGAATACACAGACTACAGCTATGGACGCTCCCCAAAGTTGTTCTATCCTGGAGCTTACGACGCCCCAGCTCCCGCTCCGGTTTACTCCATCCAGACCGGGTTTGCAAAGTCACCGGACTTCGTCTCGGCTGCTCCAGATTTTCCCGATAAACTTTCGGGAGGCATGGCTTTTGTTCCGGGAGTAGCAGAACCTCAGAGTTCTTCAAGTAAGCTCTCTCTCTCTCTTCCTTCTTTTCGAGCTAAAACTGTTCTCTTTTGCTTGCTTCTTCCAGGTTGGTATTCTCAGAGATTATCAGCTATGCGAAATGTGCTAGTGGCAACGGCGATCGCTCTAATGCTGTGAGAGATCGATCGATCGATTCGTCCATCGATCGCCAAAGAAAAGAATGGAGAATTGCCGGCAAGCCAGGCACGAAGAAAGAACTCTAGAGGAGAGAGAGGTCTCGTGTAAATAAGTAACGTCTGTGTTGTCCTA